TGCCGCAGCGCTTCGAGTTGCTCTTTCTGGTCTGTTGGGCTCTCCTCGCGAATGACGATGGGTGTCATTTTGGAAAGAGACAATTTGATGAGCTGAAGAGAAATGTATATGACCTTACTTTCTAGAGTGATGTCTGCGCCTGAGCTTCTGGAAATCGGCAGGTGACCATTCTCAGAGCACCGCAGGATGAAGCCGGATCACTGTTGCCGCCCTCGTTGGAGGCGTCAACCGTGTACCCATAAGCTAAATGTCAATGCAATAGGTGGGAACGCTATAACCAGAACCAGATCCGGAACTTCCTTGTCCCGCCGCTCACGGCACGCCTGTCGCAACAGAACACTCCTGTTCGCGAAGTACAAGAGTGAGGGAAAGAGGTACCGTTTTCTCTTTCCCGGTCCCATAATTTGCCTTGCGTGCAAGAGCATTCAGTAATGCTGTAATGAGGCGAACTTCGAGCTCTCGCCCAACGATATCATCTACGCCGTGCGAGATGCGCGGCTTCGATGCGCGGGCCTAGGCCACGGTAGCGCGCTACAGCCACGATCTGGAGCAGGTTCCCCACATCTGCACAGAAGCCCACGCCCTTAACAAAAATCTACATTTAGTTTACTAAGCTCATTTAAATGCTTTAATAATATGTTCAGGTTGCATGCATGAGTTTCAGGCGACCAGTTTTTCGCTCGCCCGCCGGCTTCCCCGCTGCGATGCAATTGCCCCTCCTCCATGATAGTTCGTAGCTCGGGCCCAAATGATGGAAACAATAGATGTTGTGCAGCGAAAATCCAGCATCAGTCTCGTAAGCATTAGATAAGGCCGTGTTTGGCGAGATTAAAGACAGGGTATATTGTGGCGGTCCTGAACGAGGATCCGTTGGTTCAGCGTATAGGCGTAAGTCGAGTTCTCGAACTCAGCGGGGGACCTTCATGAGCTGCACCCCCAAGTCTTTGGTGTTTGTGGAAAGGTCACAGCACGTACAGAATGCCTCAACAATGTGTCAGTGTCCACAAACTTCAGCTGGCCTGACTTCGCATTTGCGCTGCAGTCGCAGCAAGGTCACTTCGACGAAAACATAATCGGACTCTTGCAGATGCTTACTGGTGTGCCGCTGTGCATGAACAATCATACTTCCAACTAAGCGCTGATCTTTCGTGTAAGCAGCTACCTGCGTACCTGTCATTACTGTACACACAGAACTGGGTCGCGTTGACTCGGAGGCGAGCACCTCTACGAGAACCGTGCACGCATGACGCGACACTTCCATAGACTGCTTTGGCAGTTCACGTAAGTGGATGGAGTCCGACCATGGGTCCATGGATTGTGTATAATGCCGGGTGCAATGGATTCTTCCATTTTGTTGCCCAAGCGGTACACCGTAGCATCCCCAGAAAAACAGTGCTGCGCTTGCGCAGACAGCATCCACCAATACCAAAAAGCGGCGGGGCGCTCCATGAGCGTCCATTAGAAAATGCTGTTCA